ATAATATATCTTACTACATGTACATGTACTTACTAGAGGTTCACCTTTTTTTCCTCCTTCGTCACCACCTTCTGTGCGTGTAATTGTTAGACTTTTGGGCGTAATTGTTTGCAATAGACATGGGTTCGAATCCTATCGAGTGGAGAAGTCTTTGGCCAAGTATCTCTAAGGTCTGTGTGCCGAGATGTTATTTTAATTATTTATCCCATTCATCCCGGTTTGGCGCTAACAAGCAAGATCGGAGCGGCCTGCTTCCTAAATGATCTAACTTGTGTCGGTGTGTGCATACAGCATTTATAATTACACTTACAATGTCCCATATTTCTATTCGATAGATCTATCCAAGAGAGCTTTTTTGATACAGGTACTATTGTTTGTTACGTGCTGCAAAGGATTTTACCTAGACGGTCAGGATTTTACACAACTCAAAGCCCCGTAATTTTGATGGCCACACCCTACTGGAAACACCTTCTGTGTATGAGTCCCAAGCCATACATGTACTTGTAATTAATGGGTTTCCGTTGAGTGTAGGATTATTACGTGTGTTGTGGCTCTTGTAATAAAACTACATGCTCGTAATAGGTCTATAATATTACCCTAGAAATTGAACGGAAAATTACAATTGCAACATCAAAATTGAGAAGGAAAAAATGGCATCCACCTTGAAAGGACAATGCAAAAATATTTTTTAAAGAATTCTAAGAAGTATCATATTCCACACCACAATACACGGTTGGGAAGCATGGGCCATCAATGAACACTATTTTAAAAGAGGATTGCAGCTCGCTTTTCGAAATAAAATGTTATTAGAAAAAAAACAACTCTAATGATATCATGGACACAGAAAATAAAGAATACAATAATATAGAAATTCTTAGAATAGGTATAGGTTCTATAAAACTCTTCAAAGAGTGTATGAAAGCAGATTTTCAAAAGTGACCTAGATCTAGTAAGAGTGGTTTAAATAATTAAAATAGGACAATTTTTGTTCTATAAAAAAGCTATCAAGGTTCATAAATTCCGTCAAAACTAAGACAACTTTTGGATGAGAGAAAATCAATCAAAGAGCAGGAATTGAACAGTTGGGCTACAAAATGATACAATGACAATTCACGTAGCCCCCTGGTACTCATTTATTATCTTCATGCAGCCAGTGATAATGTTGAGGCATACTTATAAGACTAAAGGAATCCCCAGGCTTTCTCCGATTCTGTAAAGCCACCAAATTGTATAAAGATGGCTTTTCTAAGAGTACATTTTTTTCTTACTACACAATAAAAAGCTAATTTGAAAGTACAGTTGCTTGAGAATATTATATTATCCTGTCAAGTCAAAACTTCTTAAAATTGTTGATAGTAATATATGGGAAAGAAGCTTGAATATTTTTCTCAAGCACAGGAGAAACATTCATAAAATGCAATTGGGAAAATGACCAAGCGACCTAGGAACCGTAGACTCATTTCGTTGGCAAAAAAAAAGAACGCATCATTTTTGTTAATAAAAGAATGCTTATTACATCATGTATGAAACTACTGTTCAATTTCATTTCACATTTTCAAGTAATTTGGCACGTTGAATGTAAAAAGGTAGTTAATTTTAACACCAAAAAAACTTTAACTTTTAAGCAAAGTAAACTAAGAAGTTGACAATTGCTTTCATATAACGTTCTGCTCACATCTTCAGGTCATCTTAAAAAGCAGCTCTCTATAACTCTATATAACGATATCGTGGGGACCAGAAAAAAATCGTTATATAGAGTTGTCGTTATAGTGAGGAAACCAAACTATTACTTAATGATATAATATTATATACAGAGGATGTCGTTGTATCGAAGATCCTTATATAGAGAGGTTGCACTGTAAGTAGGTTGCATGCAACATTATGGAATAATAATCGTGAAATCAGAAATGGTGAGAATGTTGGCAACTTATTTTTCGAAGAACAGCACAAGAAACCCTATAAGTTGTCTACTAGATCTAGATAGATCTAGCGTAGACACGCTCGTCCTGATGGCCCGACTGGGCGGACGTCATGTCGGCCAGCTTGCGCGCAATACAGCTAGGAGAAAGAAAAGGGGGACGGGGGCTTTTAACGAAATGTTTAGCTTGACCAGGAAAGCACACGTATTTTCTAAAAAAATCTTATTTTATGTGAGTACCAGTGCTCAGTAGAGACTATACCAGAATTGTTTTAAAGGTAATAGCGATTTCTGGTGTTTCCATTTTTTCAATCGATGGTTGCCCGGCTTCTTTTGTTGCCTTATACTTATACCACTTCGCCTACGTTTGCGTTTGAATAACCTTTAAACCATATAATAAGTCGGGCTGAGCGCAACGAACCACCCATGGACCCTGTTGTCATTTTCCCAAAGGATTATTAATTACTTTCGTTCATTGTTAATTTTTAATTTTTTAAATTTAAAGTGGAAAGAACTCTAAACATCAATCATCAACTTTTCCAGTGCACTGCTGCACTAACTCGGATTGCTGCTGTGTCGTACCAAAGATACTATAACCTACGTGTACTATCTTTGGTCGTACCCAGGGCCTAGAGAAACACCTCGCCCAGAACGTAATATAATATGAAACTGAAACTGAACTACCTTTGGCTTTCCAAACGCCATGATTCACTTGGTAAATATTCTAGGAACAAAGGTTGATGAACGCAGTAGAGAAAGGGGGAGACCTAACAGACAGAAATAACGGAGCATAGAAACATGATTTGGAACCAAAAACAACTGAAGCAGGAAGAACGGCAAGAGACTGAGTGTTTAATCGAAGAAAGGTCCAATAACAATATACAACTACTGGAAAAGCCAAGAAGAAGAAGAAGAAGAAGAAGAAGAAGAAGAGGAGGAGGAGGAGGAGG